TTTACGTTTTATTTTGACCAAACTTTCTTGTTTGCCTGGGCCTGAGGCATTTCCCAGGACATGGGACTTCCAGTTTTTTCTTTTTTTTTTTTTTTTGAGACAGAGTCTTGCTCTGTCGCCCAGGCTGGAGTGCAGTGGCCGGATCTCGCCTCACTGCAAGCTCTGCCTCCCGGGTTTACGCCATTCTCCTGCCTCAGCCTCCTGAGCAACTAGGACTACAGGCGCCGGCCACCTCGCCCGGCTAGTTTTTTTTTTTTTTTTGTATTAACAAAAAGGTATTTATTGAGCATTTACTGGATTCTATTTGTTAAATATGTGATTCATTAATGTAGAAGTTAGTAGCATATTTTTTGCTGTTCATAAGAAAATACAGATCTTTCAATATAAAAAATGGGCAACTATAAGGAGTGAATAAAGATGTAGTCATACTGAATGCTTTCCATTTTTCATTACGAGTGACTCATATATTTTCCACTGCTTGAATATTCCATGTCTTACATCTAAATGTGTGGCCCTCTCGGGATCTAGAATGACGTTTTAAAACCTAAAAACAATTTTATTCCTACCCTAACAACCCACTTGAACAATTTTGAGTCAGCTGCAGTAGCAAATGAAGAGCAGTACAGTGCATTATAAAGGAACACAAAAGCGCTGGGAAACAGAGCCTGAGGTAGAGTCTCCTTTCTTATCACTATACAATTCTGGTCAGAAAAGATACTCAGTGTCCCCCAGCTGTAGAAAAGAGAGAATCATTCTACCTTTTCAGCGTTCTTGCAGATATTAAATGAGATAATATTTAAGGCCATAGTTTGGAAAATATAATGTGCTTATACAAATGTTAGATGTGATTATGTGTTTCTTTTGGATGCCTATATATATTCAAGAGACTATATAGAAGAAATGAAAATAAAATGAAATTTCCAATCATTAAGGCAGTGCATAGTGGCAACTTTAATGTCTACCAAAATTAGAGCTCTAATTATACAGATTAATTATCCATGATGATCAAAGGAACTAGGAATTTTTACCATAAATGTATTGCGATAAAGTTACACTAAGAAGAATGTTACCAACCACATCATTAAAACTGAAAGAATTCAGCAAATTGCCTGGTCTCTGGAGGGACAGACATTCTCTCTTCTTTTAATTTAGACTCATTCAATGTTTCTAAGAGAAATTTTCTGGCCAATGCAAATCTGTAAGACTGGGAATGGCCTTTTTAAATAGTGTAAGTACTATCATATGTTATAAAAACACAAGTTTTAAAAAATTGGCATATTTTGCTAATCTTTCTCCACTCTGGAGCTGTCTTTAAAAAAAAAAAAAAACAAAAAAGTCAAGCACAATATATTAAATCCAAAGTGTGAAAGGAAAATAAGTTTATTGTTAAATTTGATAAAACTTTTATAGTGACAGGCAACATTAAATAGATTTAATCATCCCTAAAGTATGAGTTGAATTTTCTGGTGCTTTGTTGAGAGTTTTTACAAGGAATCTGTTCAATTAAGAAATATGATTACTACTTAGTAATGTAACAAATACTTATCTGAAATACTGAGGGCACAATTAGTGTTTGGAACTGGATATTTGCATACCTACCTGAGAGGCATGGGCAATCTCTGTGTCTTTCTTCTGTACTGGAGGTTTTCCATCTGCAGTCATTTCAATCATACAAACAACTCCAGGGCTGCCAATAGGCATTGTGTGGCTAAACCTAAAACAGAAGAGGCCATTATGATATGTGTTATTGGCAAGAAAGGGGTAACTTCACACGTGGATAGTAAGTGCTTCTTCATTGAGAGAGGTACTTTCTGGATCACCACAATCCTGAAATATGGCCCCAGCCAAGTGTGGACATTTTCAAGTAGACAAAAGATGTATTTCTTTTCTAACACTGCGTTTTATTTTCCTTCTCTCCTACTGACTTTAAAACTGGACATGGAATGCTTTCAGAAAGTTAAACCTCCCACAGAATAAAAAGAGCTTCATGTATATAAGTAGATATTGATAAATTTTAAGTGCTAACTGGGATTGACATATGGTCTCACTCATGTAGGAGATTGTTGGACAAGTAATATCAATGTTAAATGATGCTAACTCCCTAGGTAAAAATTTCCCGTCCCTGGCCTACAGGGAAATTGAAATGGAATAAGAAATGAAAGGCTGCATACCCCTGAGTAGTGAGATTACACTGTGATACAGTTATCAGAACTCAGAAAGCATGCTGCTAATGTACCGGCTGGTACTGTATCTCAGAGATAAAGAAAAGTATAAGGTTAAGGGAGTTTGTAGAATGAATAGCAGAAATGGTCAATACACAACTGAAAATTTATCACAGTTTATAGAATGATGCAATCATATGAAAAGGTACATATACTAAGGTACTTGGCATACTTTTTAAACAGTTTATTTAGAGTTTTAAAAAAATTTCAAACAATATTACCCCGGCAGCTGTTGTAACAATGGTAACTTGCATTGTTATAAAGTTTATTTCATAGAGATAATACAAATACGTTCACTGATATTAACAGTGGCTGTTTCTGCATACTGAGAGTGTGGATGATTTCATTTCTCGTTCTTGCTTATTTGTATTTTTTAAATTTTGGACAATGATCACACTTTTTCTTTACGTTTTATTTTGACCAAACTTTCTTGTTTGCCTGGGCCTGAGGCATTTCCCAGGACATGGGACTTCCAGTTTTTTCTTTTTTTTTTTTTTTTGAGACAGAGTCTTGCTCAGTCGCCCAGGCTGGAGTGCGGTAGCGAGATCTCGGCTCACTGCAAGCTCCGCCTCCCGGGTTCACGCCATTGTCCTGCCTCAGCCTCCGGAGTAACTGGGACTACAGGTGCTCACCATCACGCCTGGCTAATTTTTTTGTATTTTTAGTAGAGACGGGGTTTCACTGCGTGAGCTAGGATGGTCTGGATCTCCCGACCTCGTGATCCACCCACCTCGGCCTCCCAAAGTGCTGGGATTACAGGTGTAAGCCACCTTGCCCTGCAGGACTTTCAGTTTTAAAACCAGAGAAGTTTCTGGCAGACCTGGAGAAGTTGGTCATTTTATTTTTCAAACAAAAAGTCAATTTTATTAAACAATTATTGGTTAAATAGTAATAATTTTTCTTAAAATAACTTTGTCGACTTAATTGAATTAAAAAACAAAAAAAAAAACCCCTAAGTTTCCTCTTTCTCTTACCCCTCTTAAAGGCACAGCTGTGGGCTGGTTCCTTCTCCTCGCCTACTAGGTAATAAGAATCTGATATGATCCTTCCAATAAATCATTCCACTACCTTTTTGGCTTCCACTTTAGTTTACCAAGGTCATTTCTAATTCTGATGAGATCACTGTTAAAAATTCTTGAATTCTAAGAATTTCCCACTTAGTGTGAATTTTGTACTGTAAAAATATATGAAGCATATTTGCCATCAGTGTGGATATGGCCAGGTTGATATGTATGGAGGCTTTTATACTGGGGATGGAGAGAATTGCTCTCAGGGAATGCACAAGATCTCTGCTTTTCTCATTCAGAGCTTGTTGAAATCTAACTTGGAACTGAAGCTCCACCAAAGTAAGCTATTCACTCTATTTGCTTTCTGTTATTCCTTCTTTTCTCCCCCTGACCCTTCCACAAATGATGGTTTATATTATCTCCCTGGTTTATGAACTATGTTGGAAATTGATATGCTAAGTCTCCCAGAATTTTTTCCACATGTTGATTCTTATGTTCACTTTTATGATGTCTCATGCTTGCTTATAGACCAAATTGTGTCATAAGAAACAAAAAACCCTATAAACAAATGAGATATTATGCCACGTAAATCATTTGAAGAAAAGCCTAAGAGCATATCCCTTATGCCTCTCAAGTATTGCTGACTCTAATGATTTAAAGACTTAAGGATCATATTTTGAGATAATCTGTTGACTGGCTGAGTGATCTTAGGCAAACCACTTAACCTTTCTTCCCTGAAGTGTGATTATGCACGGAAGGGAGATAATCATTCTAAGCTCATAAATGGTTAGTGAGAATCACATTATTTAATGTACATAAATCATTCAGTGTTAATATTAAAATCCAAGTTAAAGCAATTATTTGCTGACTAGACAGGGATCTCTAAAGAGATTTTTGTAAAAATAAATTACACAGTCAAGTTGAAGTGTTCATCCACTTCTACTAATATTGCTCATGATGGAATTCAAAATCAAATACTCAAGTTGCATTATTTTAAAAACTAAAATTCGATGAAACGGACTTTTTTTTCAGTGTCCTTAACATTTTTGCGCTTTAGATTTACAATTTTTAGGTATACTTAGCAATATCGGTGGAAACATTCTGATTTGGAAAAGACAATTTATTTGTAGATTTTTAGAAGACCTGCCCAAATGGAAGTTCAGGTTATCTAAAACACATGAAAGGGCTGTAAAAAGGTAAAAAAAAGAAGAGTTCATTTCTTAATTAATTAAATCAAGTAATTTAAATAATTTATCCAGCTCTTAAACAATAGAATAATAATAACACAGAAAGACATTTGTGTGAAATAGAAAAAGAGATACATGTAATTTGAATTACATAAGATAATTTTAATAAAAATATGCAGAGGATAATACCAGAGCTACTTTTACTAATATTAACAGTGGCTATCTCTGTATCCTTGTGATATGGGAGGCAGGCAGGGAAATGCTGGGTAGAGAAGGGCAGGGTTCCTGGCAAGGGCTCCACCCTTGGGCCTATGCCCACGAACCTAAATGAGAACAGACACTCCTATTTTCATGCACAAATGTTGCATTTTCCAAGACCACTCTGGCCCACCATGCCGCCTATCCTGTGCCCACATAAACCTGAGACCTTAGCAGGCACACACAGAAGCAGCTGAATGTCGAGACCAATAGACTAGCAGACCAGCCATGGTGGAACAATGTAGCAGAGAAAGAGAGAATAGTATTGATGTCTGGATGCCAAGCGGAGTTTGGCTGGGGGCTGTCAGAGAAGAGTCCAGCCCCTGGGTGGCCCGACTCCAGGGGAAGACCATCTTCCCACTCCATCCCCACTTCCAGCTCCCTTCCATCTTGCTGAGAGCCACCTCCAGCACTCAATAAAACCTTGCACTCTTCCTTTGAGCCTGTATATGATCTGATTCTTCTGGGACACTGGGCAAGAGCTCAGGATACAGAAGGCTGTCACAATGGCCCCCTGCCCTTGTAATAAGGCAGAGGGTCCATTGAGCTGATTAACATGCAAGCCACCCACAGAGAACCAAGCTAAAGGAGCACACTGTAACACATGCCCACTTGGGTTTTGGGAGTCACAGACACCCACCCCTAGATGCTACCACGGGGCTGAGAGCCCAAAGCACTCGCCCTGGCCTCTGTACCTGCCTATCTGCATGCTACTTCTAGGGATTTGAGCTGCAAGGTGACCAAACAGGGGAGCCATATCCTTGTCACACGTCCTGTGAGGGGAATCGGGGAACTTTCCTGTTTCACTGGGAATGAAGATGATTTTTTGTGTATGTGTGTGTGTACAGATAGGGTCCCACTATGTTGCCCAGGCAGGTCTTGAACTCCTGGGCTTAAGTGATCCTTCTGCCTTTGCCTCCCAAAGAGCTGGGATTGTAGGCATGAGCCTCTGTGCCTGGCCAGAGGATGATTTTTAAATTGTGTCTTTTGCTTATTTGTATTTTCTAAATTTTGGACACTGAACATAAGTTTTTCAATCTTATCTCTTAAGGAATTCAGCTTTTATTAACAAAATAATAATTAAAGAATTTTCCAGCGTTTTCCTGTTGTTTCCTGGATTCCATTCCTTCCTTCCAGGTACTCCTATGTACATAATAGCCAAGATTTGGAAGTAACTTAAGTGTTCAACAATAGATGAATAGATCAAGAAAATGTGGTACATATACACACAATGGAGTACTGTTCAGCCATAAAATAGAATGAGATCCTGTCATTTGGAACAACATGGATGGAACTGGAGGTCATTATGTTAGGTAAAATAAACCAGGCATAGAAAGACAAACTTTCTCACTTGTTTGTGGGAGCTAAAAATTAGAACAATTGAACTCATGAAGATAGATAGTAGAATGGTTACCATAGGCTGGGAAGTATAGTAGGGGTCTGAGGAGCTGGAAAGATTGTTACTGGGTACAAAAATACAGTTAGAATAAGATCTACTACTTGATAGCACAACAGGGTGACTATAGTCAATAATAATTGTATGCTTTAAAATAAAAAAAACACAATTGGATTATTTGTAACACAAAGGATGAATGCTTGTGTTGATGGATACCCCATTTTAAACTGATATGATTTACACATTGTGTATTTGTGTCAAAACATCCCATATATCCCATAAATACAGACAACCACTATGGACCCTCAAAACTTAAAAATTAAAAAAAAAATTCCTCAAACTTTGGAAAATTTTTACCTGAATCATCTTGAATATTGCGTTTTGGTATTCTCTGAATGATATAGTTTGGCTGTGTTTCCACCCAAATCCCATCTTGAATTGTAGTTCCCATTATCCCCATATGTCATGAGAGGAAACCAGTAGGAGGTAATTGAATCATGGAGGTGGTTACTTCCATGCTGTTCTTGTGATAGTGAGTCAGTTCTCATGAGAGCTGATGGTTTATAAGGGGCTTTTCTCCCTCTTTACTCTGCACTTTTCC